AGACATCTTTACCACTTATTCCCTGCGATAAATGACTCAATTGGTGTAGAATACTCGGGTATTTACGCTTTGGTAAGTGGCTTTAGCTTATAAATTAATTTAACAATTAATCTACTTTGTAATTATAAAAGCATCGTTCCTCTTTCTTCTCTGCAGTGCAATTAGATATGGAAATAACATATTTGAAGACATGGATATTCTTCGCAATAATTGTTCGCCAATTCATAGATGGGGCAGAAGAATACTTTATCGCACCGACAGCATGGTATTATATTAAATCTCTGGGACAAAATATGCTTTTTCTCGGACTTGTCATGTCTGGTTTCCAATTTAGTGCACTACCGTCCAGCCCTATCCTCGGCAAATTGGCAGATAGAGTTGGATACAGTAGATGTATCATTGTCGTCAGCCTGTTTTTGAAATTTGTTGCATATATATTGTATGCAATTCCACTCTCGGCATATTTTCCACTAATTGGGAGAATTTTGGGTGGGCTCACTGATGGTTCTATCGGGGTCGTCTACGGGCAAATAATATTGTACACACCACAGAAACATCGAACACAAGTCTTCTTAATATTGGATGGAGTGTTCACCGTGGGCACCCTCTTGGGCCCGGCAGTCAGCTTGTTTTTGATATTTAATGTGAATATCTTTGGCTGGAAGATCGACGCTGGTAACTCACCTGCAATCGTTCTTTCACTTTTATGGTTGGGAATGTTTGTCGTCTCTCTGTGGTTTCCCAGTGAGTTTGGATCAACGAAGGTTACAGTTGATAATAGTGATTATGACCAACATATCGTTGTTGATGGCCATGATAATGATGATGGTGGTGATGATGGGCATGATAATGATGATGGTGGTGATGATGATGAGCATGATAATGATGATGGTGGTGATGATGGGCATGAACGCGGTGGTTGTAGTGATGGTCAGGATCACGATGAAGATGATTGCGTTCTTCCGGCTACAAATGATCGTGGTAAATCACAAAAATACGGTTCTTACAGTACAATTTTTCTCATATTTTACCTCGTTATATTATGTTTCTTTTACTCCAGTACTGTTACCTTTTACGTTCCCTTGCTTGCGCAAGAACACTTCCACCTTCGATTCATTCATGTGAAAATGCTGTTCTTGGTGAGCTCTGTCTTTTGCATGGTTCTGTTCCTCGGGTACTATATTGCCGCAAAATATTACGATGAGGCACAAATGTTAGCTTTTTCAATGATAATGCAGATAATTGCAATATGGCTGTTAACCTATATTGCTTTTAGTTGGAACAGTGGGTTAGGTGTATACGGTGGTTATGTTCTCCTTCCTTACATCTGTCTTGGAATGCCATTTTTCTCATTTTCTTTGTGTTGTTCAGTCTTGTCGTATATCACCGATCCAAATAAGGCTGCTTTTTATCAGTCTATGTCAATCGCTGCACTTCACTTAGGAAACTTGCTGGGCCGTCTAATTTCATCTTATATTTTCACCGTAACGGAACTTTTGTGTTTTTGTCTCGGTCAGTTTGTATGCTGGCTTGTTGGAGCATTATGGTTTGCCCTGGAGTTTTCAAACATACGACGAACGGAGTTTTGATTTTGCCACGCTTCAGGTTTTAGTTACAAGCTATATTATGTTGCATGCAGTCATTATTTTAAGATATCGATAAATAATGTTAAGAACAAACAATGGATTTTAATTATTAACCTGCATGAAGGATGAACTGCAAAGTAAAGGTAAAAAACTGCTTTAACCTTACCGTGTTTACGTGATATAGCTGTATACATATATTGTCAATTTACTTTTTTCGTTATTGTTTTGCTATCTTTTCGATAGAGTATTTTCGCATGATGCACCTTATATTTTGAGAAATCTGTAGTTTTTTTGTTAATACATACAATTGAACCAATTTTTTTCGTACACCGTGTGTCCGGCTATCTCATGGTCGTTTACATTATTGTTATGTCAGTAGCAGAATGAGTGTTATAAATTCTCAGTATTTTTTAACTAACATGAGCGTTTTGAAGAAAAAATTCACTGTAAAAAGCACCGTTTTCCAAAGCAGACGCATTTCCAAGCTTTAATTGTTGGATTTGTAGAGCAATTAAAACGTGTCAATATAACTGGCTGTAATTCATTGTATTATCGAGTATATTCCTCTGAAAATCCTTGTAACAAATACTTGTAATTTTGTTAACATTGTACAATCCCTATCATTTTACCAATACGAATGAAGTTTGGAGAAACCACATTCCGATTTCCACATTTATTGTTGCAGTAAGCAACCCTGTATTTAAGCGACTCGTTATTCAGCAACTTATACGACAGAGTAGCAATGGCGCCGCCCGCAATAATTTTTGTTGAAGGAACAAATTCTGGGAAAGGTCCAGGATGAAATTAGTTTTTACTCTCTAGCTTTAGTAATTTTCAAAATTGTTAACCCTCCCTCCTTTTCATTGAATTTGGACAAATCTGAAAGCCGATTCTGGAAGTCATCGGGGGAGCCACTGTATAGCAGACGCGTATAAAAACTTGATCAGGTTGCAATATTACTGTTTGTTGAAACGTTGCAGCAGTGAGGTTAACAAGTCAGCACAAAATTGTTCAACCGACAATCGTTGCAACATACAACACGATATTAAAACAAAATAGGGAAAGGCCGGCTTTTAAACGTCATATTTCGTCGAGATTTATGTTGCTAGTGAATTCTTTTATTCGTTAATAACGACCAAATATAGCAAGTAGGACGTAAACAGCCCCTGCACGGGTCATTAAAAAACAGCCTGTAACAATAACGTTTCAAATGCATGTGCAACCGTCCATGTGAAATTCATTCACAATTATTTAGCAACCGCTTTGATCGCGACAAAATTCTTTGTCATGGGGTCAGTCGAAACAAACATTCGAAGGGATATTTCAAAAGAAATTTTTAAGATCGTTAATCGAAGAGAATAACTTGGAAACTGATCATTGAAATAGCTGGGTCGAGTGAGTATTATTCTAGCTATAATTTTTGTTTCCAATCATGTATATTATATCCATGGCCAGTAAGTGGCTCGAGCTAAGTTTTGAAATTATCATTTTTGTACATTCAGTACAAATTGATATTTGCCTATCAAAGGATCATCTGCTCAGAATTTTTGCTTTAAGGGAACCACCGCTGGTATAAGGCAGTGGCATAGCGAGTCGACAATTTAGTCATGCTATTCTAATATTTAGGTGTTTATTCACTCTTAAAACAATGAGTTTCTAAAGTAATGAATTATGATGATAACATAAAATTTGCATAGCATGCCAGGCTGGCTACGCCACTGTATAAAGGTATATGGTATATAAAGCTGTGAATTGCAGGGACATGCGGTCTAATTAGACTTCATTTCTCTTTTAACCGCTGTTTACGCTGGTTTTGCTATTTTTCTTCGCTGTCATAAAAAGTTAATCGCTGAAAGTTATTTATACCTAATACAACGGATTTATTCTTTATTTAAAAATAGGAAATATCAGCATCGTTAGGGAATGAGAATATCTTTTTATATGCGTGCAATATGAAGAACGTATAAGCCAATATTGAATCATGTAATGCGAATGACTGTCGCCTGTGTTCTAATCAGAAGACTGGTATCCGTTGCTGTATTGAATGTCGCTAATCCGGTTTCAATACTTCGACAATCAAGTTGCAACTTGAGACTTGAGAACCTCTTAAATGAATCAATAAAGGATAGCCGCTCGATTGCTTCGTTAAGTACCTAAAATATCAAGAAATATAGCCCTTTCAAGTCGAAAAGTAACAGTTACCATTGGGTTTGGTAGAAATGCCAAGATATATTATGTGTTGATATCGCTGCGATTTGAAAAGTATTTTCAGTATTACTACCTATAATATGCATGGTTACTGTATAATAATTAGTATTGAACAAATTTTGTGTCTTGGCAAATTTTTTATCTTGCCTAATTAGCAGTTAAGTTAATGCAATATACAATAAATGGCGTATATATTTCTGCTTTTTTTCAGTTAAACCCGTAATTAATTTAGAGGATATAATCGTTGTGAAATACTGAACATTCCGCCAAATAATTTTTTCCGTTTTTTTGAACGGTAGTGATTACATGCTCGTGACCTCGGTTTTTTGCAATTTTGCCTCAATCTTTTTCCGAATATTTCAGTTTTCAAAAGAAACTATGTTTCATCTTGTTATGATACTATTTGGAATAACTGAAAGATAGCACATTTTACCATATCAAGGGTGCAAAGTTGTCAAAATTTTATTCCAGAATTTATTTTATTTGCTTCAAAACACTCATATCAAACTCTCGCTTTACAAATAGTCTATATCGCGTTACAAGCGAGGATATACCCCCAGCAGTGCGCAATACAAACCCGTCCCAAATAAGCGCTTTTTCTGTTCGTGTGCCTTAGAAACTGAAGCTATCTTTCACTTAAACACGGATTATTAAATTTTGACCTATTCCGCACATTCTTTATTGTTTTTGGTAAAGATTCGTCGTATCCCGGACTTTGGCGGTTGAATGTCGCGGGCTATATAAGAATATTGGTCAAATATAACCGTTTAGAGCGGAAGTTGCTAATATAAGAGCGAAATATTTCTCTTCCTTACATTCGGAATTGAAATCTACATGTTTTGGCGCGTATTTTGATATGAATTTCGTACATATTCAACGTGAATTAGGTTCGGACCGATGGCCATGAACTGTAGGTATTTTGCGACATTGGTCGGCATTTGCATATGTTGTTCACACATTAATGCAGTCTCTGCTGTTGGTGATGTGAACACAATCAGAATGGAGGCCCGCCGTTTACTTACGAGATAAGCAGGCAAGAAAATTTTTATATTTTCATCTTGTATGCTTTAATATAGTACTGTTTAATACCACAGTTGTGTATATTTTGCGTCGGCAATAAATAGCGTCGGCAATAGCCTACGCTGCTGCAGTACACATTAACGATTTTCTGATGGATATATTGTGTATATATCATACATATAATATGCAGGAATAAGGGACATTAATATCGTTCACATCAGTTACCTGCGCGTGTAAGGGCGAATTTTAATCAAAAGGTTTTATTGTTATTGTTATTATCGGCTCTATCGTCTATATTGACGCGGCGGCCAAAACACGAGGCTTTTCATGCTGAAGAAACGGGAAAAATATTATCTTTGCCATAGCCCATAGGGTCGCCATTCATCAAAACGCAAATCGTATCCTTTAAAATGCGTACGAACACGTTTATTTTTTTTATCAATCTCTTTAATCTCAACCTCTTAAAGGTTATTGTCTTTCGCCTCCCGTTTAAGTGATTTTTTTCCACATCGAACCGCAAATTCGTGGACAAAACGTTGAGGTTTGCATAATGTGCGCTTTGGTCTAGACACCATATTGTTTTGCAAGGCGCGCATTTGTAATAGAAAAAACTGGACACTAGTTTGAGCAAATGTTCATCTCAATAGGGAAAAAGTTTGATATGGATAATTCGCGTCGCGTCAGTAAATCGCGACCAGCGTGTGGTAGGACTATAGTAACTTCTTTAAGTTGTTTTTTTGGAATGTATTCTGTTGTAATTAATTTTGCGGAAACGTCAACAAACCACGCTCACTTGTCTTCTATAACCCTCATTTCCTGCTAAATTTAACAGAAAATATATAATACTTCAATACAGAATATCAGCATTTATCTTTTATTGAAAGTTCCTTCCTTTTATACAAAAAAATAACCTAAAACAATATGAATTTGATTTCATAGGAGTAGAGTTTTGTTTTCGTCTATTCATTCATAATTCATAATAATTTTCTAGTTAGCAACACCTTCTGTCCTTAGATACATTAAAATAGGAATTTAGCAGGCTTTCAATTTCAATAATTAAATAAGACGGGAATTTCCTTCTTGATATATTTTTGCATTAACACGTTATGGTTAATACAGTACGTTGCTATGCTGAAGAGTTTGTCCCGCCACGTAAATTTTAAGTTTTTATCATTTTTCAATTATTTTTAAATCTATTGTGTTCACATATAATTAACACCAAAATATTAGTGACAACATGGGGTACATAAATAGTAGCTGCGTATTCAAATTCCGTATTTCGCAATTGCAATTTTGCAATCATTAAGTCCCAGTAATGTTTCTCAGGGGAGTCCTTGTTTCTATAGGCGACCGATCCCCAGCCTCATTATAAAGTTTCTCAGGCAGCTCCATCCATTCAGCTCCCTTACTCTACGCCCATGAATGCCACCATCGGTATAAGTTTGCACGTTTGGATGGACATTTTATCGAAAGAAAAGTTTTATTCAAATTTTTATTATTTAACACCCATGCGTTTATTATTACCCAGTGTCGAGCTAATTGGTTTTAATCATTTATTTCAAATATGACTTATAGTTATAAAGATTTATACTTTTACGTATACAGAGACTGTCCAGAAATAACCTAACAGAAACTGCGGTTAACCTAGGTCAGACCAATGGAGGTCGAACTGCGGTGAGAACGATGTTATATCTTCGATCGAACTCGAGCTCGGTCTGACAGACATTTCTTAAGATGTTTTCGATTCGATTATTCAGTTCTCGTTCTCAGCTGTTAATAACATTCCGTTTTGAAGCGAACGAAAACCAGGATCGTATTTTCCCCTTACGGTGGTCTGCGCCGGTTTCTATCGGTCTACCGCAACCGAACCGCAACCGTAGTGTTGGGTTATTTCTGGACAGTGCTGCATGTGTACGTGCGCATTAAAAACACGTAAGGGCATGGATAGCAGCCGTAATGCATAAAATAAAATGCCCCCAAACGATTGCTTCACGCG